ACAATACCTTCTTCACGGCTGCTGCAACTAACCCATCTCTTTGGGAAGGACCTACTTCCACTGGGGAATCCCGCCTACCAGTGACTGCCCTCGTCTGCTGCCCGTCCCTATCCACTGACGCCTATATAACCGCCAGTCTTCTTGCCTTTGCTCCAGATTCTCCTCCACCACGATGCTGTGAACACTAACTCCAAGGCCGAGGGACTGATTACCTCATCTTTTGTATATAGTTCTACTGTCTTCTTATTATGTCCTAGAATCTGTATTGATAAAGCCACTGGATGGCGAAACGTCTACAATAAAGATACCCAGATGTTGCACATGTGTCTTAACTTTCATATTGTCGGTATTTTATACCTTTCTTGCACAGTTCTATATCTGTTGACCAACAGTTCTATGCCTGCAGGTGTAGTGGTGAAATGAAGATGATGTCATCAGTCCGTCATCCCTGGGAGATATGAGGAGGGTCAGTCCCTCATATCTCCCGGTGTTAGTGGACTGGTGACATCGTCCTGTGTCTCGTCATCAACTTGCTGGGGTTCTAAGTCATTTACGTCACACGAACGGTGTGGGAGGATGTGAGTTGAACCTGCCTAGCATGGGCCAGTAGGCATGCTGCAGTGCTCCCTTCTTCTTATATAGTTGTGGTAGTAGTAGTGGTGGTAGTTGTAGTACTGGTAGTAGTGGTGGTAGACAGTCCTGATGTGGGTCAAGGCGTCTGTTAGCTGATCCAGGTCAACCCACCCAGGGAACCAACCCAGGGAACCCACCCAGGGAACCCACCCACCCACCCACCCACCCAAAGAACCCACCCACCCACCCACCCACCAACCCACTCAAACCCCTTCTTTAACCCCAATCCCTCCCTCCCTCCCTCCCCACCATCAACCCCTACTTATGTTCCACATCGTCCCGGGTCCTTCACAATAACTGGGTTGGTAGCGCACTCAGCTCACAAGTCGAGGTCCTTGGTTCGATCCCCGGTACGGCTGGACACATTGGAGCGTATTTCCTTAAGATACCTGTTGTTCCTGTTCACCTAGCAGTAAGTAGGTACCTGGGTGTTTGTCACCTTACACCTGCTGTCCCTGTTCACCTAGCAGTAAGTAGGTACCTGAGTGTTAGTCACCTTACACCTGCTGTCCCTGTTCACCTAGCAGTAAGTAGGTACCTGGGTGTTAGTCACCTTACACCTGCTGTCCCTGTTCACCTAGAAGTAAATAGGTACCTGGGTGTTAGCACACTGGTGTGGGTGGCATCATGGGAGACAAAATTAACCTAAGTTGTGGGAAATGCTCTACATAACCAGGGACTTTCTATGTAGTATGTCACTGGTGTCAGCTGTGGTCTGTATAAGTTGTATCATGTACTGGTAGAAATAAAAATTATTATTATTATTATTATTATTATTATTATTATTATTATTATTATTATTATTATTATTATTATTATTATTATTATTATTATTATTATTATTATTATTTGCCTCTTCTCTTGATTTATTCACAATATCCAGCACATAGGAAACAGGAGTCTGTGACGACATTCCGGTCGAACCTGTACCATTGACAAGTCACAATAACACACGAAGGGGAGGGTATCAGTGTATATGGGAGGGACGCGACAACGAGAGGAAGAACTGGAGTGGGAGAGATGATGCTGGTAGTGGTAGTGGTAGTGGTAGGAGTTGTTGTTGTTCTAGTCGAGGTATTGTTGTCTTTCTGTTCTTCTAGGATCATGCACTTGTCTTACACGATAACAGATGTGTTAATTATCCGGGATAACTCTATGTGGACCTCTTATCCAGGCTCAAGTTAGGTTAAGTTAGATTAGGTTAGGTTAGGTTAGGTTATGTTAGGTTAGGCTAGGTACTAGGCCCTGTTAGGTTAGGTTATGTTATGTTATGTTAGGTTAGGTTAGACTAGGTACTAGGCCCTGTTAGGTTAGGTTAGGCTAGGTAGTACGCCCTCTTAGGTTAGGTTAGACTAGGTACTAGGCCCTGTTAGGTTAGGTTAGACTAGGTACTAGGCTCTGTTAGGTTAGGTTAGACTAGGTACTAGGCCCTGTTAGGTTAGGTTAGACTAGGTAGTACGCCCTGTTAGGTTAGGTTAGGCTAGGTACTAGGCCCTGTTAGGTTAGGTTAGACTAGGTACTAGGCCCTGTTAGGTTAGGTTAGACTAGGTACTACGCCCTGTTAGGTTAGGTTAGGCTAGGTACTAGGCCCTGTTAGGTTAGGTTAGACTAGGTACTAGGCCCTGTTAGGTCAGGTTAGACTAGGTACTAGGCCCTGTTAGGTTAGGTTAGATTAGGTAGTACGCCCTGTTAGGTTAGGTTAGACTAGGTACTAGGCCCTGTTAGGTTAGGTTAGGCTAGGTACTAGGCCCTGTTAGGTTAGGTTAGACTAGGTACTAGGCCCTGTTAGGATAGGTTAGACTAGGTACTAGGCCCTGTTAGGTTAGGTTAGACTAGGTAGTACGCCCTGTTAGGTTAGGTTAGACTAGGTACTAGGCCCTGTTAGGTTAGGTTAGGCTAGGTACTAGACCCTGTTAGGTTAGGTTAGACTAGGTACTAGGCCCTGTTAGGTTAGGTTAGACTAGGTACTACGCTCTGTTAGGTTAGGTTAGGCTAGATAGTACGCCCTGTTAGGTTAGGTTAGGCTAGGTACTAGGCCCTGTTAGGTTAGGTTAGACTAGGTACCAGGCCCTGTTATGTTAGGTTAGGCTAGGTAGTACGCCCTGTTAGGTTAGGTTAGGCTAGGTACTAGGCCCTGTTAGGTTAGGTTAGGTTAGACTAGGTACTAGGCCCTGTTAAGTTAGGTTAGACTAGGTACTACGCCCTGTTAGGTTAGGTTAGACTAGGTACTACGCTCTGTTAGGTTAGGTTAGGCTAGGTACTAGGCCCTGTTAGGTTAGGTTAGACTAGGTACTAGGCCCTGTTAGGTTAGGTTAGGCTAGGTAGTACGCCCTGTTAGGTTAGGTTAGGCTAGGTACTAGGCCCTGTTAGGTTAGGTTAGGCTAGGTACTAGGTCCTGTTAGGTTAGGTTAGACTAGGTACTAGGCCCTGTTAGGTTAGGTTAGACTAAGTAGTAGGCCCTGTTAGGTTAGGTTAGGCTAGGTACTAGGCCCTGTTAGGTTAGGTTAGGCTAGGTAGTACGCCCTGTTAGGTTAGGTTAGGCTAGGTATTAGGCTCTGTTAGGGTAGGTTAGGCTAGGTACTAGGCTCTGTTAGGTTAGGTTAGACTAGGTACTAGGCCATGTTAGGTTAGGTTAGGCTAGGTACTAGGCCCTGTTAGGTTAGGTTAGACTAGGTACTAGGCCCTGTTAGGTTAGGTTAGGCTAGGTAGTACGCCCTGTTAGGCTAGGTTAGACTAGGTACTAGGCCCTGTTAGGTTAGGTTAGGCTAGGTACTAGGCCCTGTTAGGTTAGGTTAGGCTAGGTACTAGGCCATGTTAGGTTAGGTAAGACTAGGTACTAGGCCCTGTTAGGTTAGGTTAGGCTAGGTACTAGGCCCTGTTAGGTTAGGTTAGGCTAGGTACTAGGCTCTGTTAGGTTAGGTTAGACTAGGTACTAGGCCCTGTTAGGTTAGGTTAGGTTAGGCTAAGTACTAGGCCCTGTTAGGTTAGGTTAGACTAGGTACTAGGCCCTGTTAGGTTAGGTTAGGCTAGGTACTAGGCCCTGTTAGGTTAGGTTAGGCTAGGTACTAGGCCCTGTTAGGTTAGGTTAGACTAGGTACTAGGCCCTGTTAGGTTAGGTTAGGCTAGGTACTAGGCCCTGTTAGGTTAGGTTAGGCTAGGTAGTACGCCCTGTTAGGTTAGGTTAGGCTAGGTATTAGGCTCTGTTAGGGTAGGTTAGGCTAGGTACTAGGCTCTGTTAGGTTAGGTTAGACTAGGTACTAGGCCATGTTAGGTTAGGTTAGGCTAGGTACTAGGCCCTGTTAGGTTAGGTTAGACTAGGTACTAGGCCCTGTTAGGTTAGGTTAGGCTAGGTAGTACGCCCTGTTAGGCTAGGTTAGACTAGGTACTAGGCCCTGTTAGGTTAGGTTAGGCTAGGTACTAGGCCCTGTTAGGTTAGGTTAGGCTAGGTACTAGGCCCTGTAAGGTTAGGTAAGACTATGTACTAGGCCCTGTTAGGTTAGGTTAGGCTAGGTACTAGGCCCTGTTAGGTTAGGTTAGGCTAGGTACTAGGCTCTGTTAGGTTAGGTTAGACTAGGTACTAGGCCCTGTTAGGTTAGGTTAGGTTAGGTTAGGCTAAGTACTAGGCCCTGTTAGGTTAGGTTAGGCTAGGTACTAGGCCCTGTTAGGTTAGGTTAGGCTAGGTACTAGGCCCTGTTAGGTTAGGTTAGACTAGGTACTAGGCCCTGTTAGGTTAGGTTAGACTAGGTACTAGGCCCTGTTAGGTTAGGTTAGGCTAGGTACTAGGCCCTGTTAGGTTAAGTTAGACTAGGTACTAGGCCCTGTTAGGTTAGGTTAGACTAGGTACTAGGCCCTGTTAGGTTAGGTTAGGCTAGGTACTAGGCCCTGTTAGGTTAAGTTAGACTAGGTACTAGGCCCTGTTAGGTTAGGTTAGGCTAGGTACTAGGCCCTGTTAGGTTAGGTTAGACTAGGTACTAGGCCCTGTTAGGTTAGGTTAGGCTAGGTACTAGGCCCTGTTAGGTTAGGTTAGGCTAGGTACTAGGCTCTGTTAGGTTAGGTTAGGCTAGGTACTAGGCCCTGTTATACACCACTAAGAGGAATATCCACCCTAATTATCCACAATTAGCCTAAATAACTTTTAAAACACCCAATTAGCCGAAATTATCAACTCTTAACGTGTTAAGATAACCTAACAAAACCATAACTAAAATAAAACAGGTGAATAATATGTTGAAAATGTTACCTAAGCCATACATGTTGCACTGCAATAAATGTTACCTAAGCCATACATGTTGCACTGCAATAAATGTTACCTAAACCATACATGTTGCACTGCAATTAATGTTGATGTAAGAGATGTTTTCTTGCAGTGTTCCCGGTGGTGCAGATAGTGACGTTTGAGAACGGGCCGTGTGTGGCAGCCTCGGGGGAACAAGGTACATGTTTTAGTCAGAAAGAATGTGACGATATTGCTGGAGCTTCCTCTGGCACCTGTGCTAATGGTTTCGGCGTCTGCTGTGTCTGTGAGTATTGCTGTGTACTAATATGTCTGTTGTGTACTGGTATGTGTGTGAGTACTGCTGTGTACTGGTGTGTCTGTTGTGTACTGGTGTGTCTGTGAGTACTGCTATGTACTGCTGTGTCTGTGAGTACTGCTTTCTACTGGTGTGTTTGCTGTGTACTGTTGTATCTGTGAGTATTGCTGTGTACTGGTGTGTACTGCTGTCTCTGTGAGTATTGCTGTGTACTGGTGTGTACTGCTGTGTCTGTGAGTATTGCTGTGTACTGGTGTGTACTGCTGTGTACTAGTGAGTTTATGAGTATTGCTCTCTGCTGTGTGTGTGTACTCACCTATTTTTTGTTGCAGGGGTCGATTCACAGCTCCTGGCCCCGTCTCTTCACTGGACGCTACTAGGTCCACTCTCTCCCTGTTCCATGAGCTTTATCATACCTCTTCTTAAAGCTATGTATGGATCCTGCCTTCGCTATATCACTCTTCAGATTGTTCCACTTCCTGACAACTCTGTGACTGAAATACTTCCTAACATCCCTGTGACTCATCTGAGTCTTCAACTAACAGTTGTGACCCCTTGTTGCTGTGTCCCATCTCTGGAACATCCTGTCTGTGCACCTTGTAAATTCCTTTCAGTATTTTATATGTCGTTATCATGTCTCCCCTATTTCTCCTGTCCTCCAGTGTCATCAGGTTGATTTCCCTTAACCTCTCCTAGTAGGATATGCCCCATAACTCTGGGACTAGTCTTGCTGCAAACCTTTGCACTTTCTCTAATTTCTTAATGTGCTTGACCAGGTGTGGGTTCCATACGGTGCTACATACTCCAATATGGACCTGACGTACATGGTGTACAGAGTCTTGAACGATTCCTTACTGAGGTATCGGAACCCTAATCTTAGGTTTGCTAGGCACCCACATGCTGCAGCAGTTATTTGGTTGATGTGTGCCTCAGAAGATGTGCTCGGTATTATATTCACCCCAAGATCCTTTTCATTGAGTGAGGTTTGCAGTCTTTGGCCCCCTATTTCTGTGGTCTTCTTTGACCTTCCTCAATCATCATGACTTTGCCCCTGATGGGATTAAACTCCAAGAGCCAGTTGTTGGACCAGGTTTGCAGCCTGTCCAGATCCCTTTGTGGTCCTGCCTGATCCTCGTCCGATTGAATTCTTCGCATTAGCTTCAAGTCGTCTGCAAATAGACGGTGTGGAACTAATGCATGTCATGTCATTCATATATACAGAAACAGCACTGGACCTAGGACTGACCCTTATGGAATCCCGCTCGTCACAGGCGCCCACTCTGACACCTCTTCACATACCATCACTCGTTGTTGCCTCCCTGTCAGGTATTCTCTGATTAACGCAGTGCCTTTCCTGTTATTCCTGTCTGCTCCTGCAGTTTTTGCACTAATCTCGTGTGGAACTGTGTCGTAAGCCTTCTTACAGTCCAAGAAAATGCAGTCTACCTCTCTCTCCCTCTCTCTCTCCTGTCTTACTTGTTACCTTGTCGTAAAACTCCAGTAGGTTTGTGACACAGGATTTTCCTTCCCTGAACCCGTGCTGGTTATCGTGTGTAAGATCATTCCTTTGTAGGTGCTCCACCACTGTTCTCCTGATATTCTTCTCTATGACTTTCTTTACAATACATGTCAGTGACACTGGTCTGTAGGTTAATATTATTTGTTTGTCTCCTTTCTTAAAAACTGGGACTACATTAGCTGTCTTCCACATCTCAGGTAGTCGCCCTGTTTCGATAGATGTGGAAGATTGTTGTTAGTGGTACACAGAGCGCCTCTGCTCCCTCTCTCAGGACACATGGGGAGATGTTGTCCTGTCCCACCACCTTTGAGATATCTTGTTCACCTAACCTCCTCCTCGGTTGTACGTAGTGTGTCTAGAAATTGGTGGTGCACCCTACTATCCTGGTTTGCTGGACTCCTTTCTGTCTCCAGTGAAAACCCTTCCTTAAATCTCGTGTTGAGTCCCTCACATACTTCTCCTGTCGTTTCTTGTGATCTCTCCTCCTTCCTTCCTCAGCCTGATTACCTGGTCCTTGACGTTGTTTCCCTCCTGATGTGGCTATACAACAGTTTTGAGTCAGACTTGGCTTTCGCTGCTTTGTCAGTCTCGTATTGCTAATGGGCCTCTCTCCTTATCTGAACATATACATTTCTGGCTCTTTGGATAATCTCATTTTCCTGGGTCCTCTGTCTTCTATACTTTTTCCATTCTCTAGCACACTTAGTTTTGGCCTCTTTACATCTATGGGTGAACCAAGGGCTTGTGTGTGTGAGAGAGACAGAGAGAAAGAGAGGCAGAGAAAGAGAGAGAGAGAGAAAACCACAAACATACGAAAGGAGTACGTAAGGCTCAGCCTCCCTTGCTTCATTATCTCACTTTCAACCTTAATCACATCTCTCATACACCTATTATTCCCCTGTTATGCTATTGTTAAAAAATTCAATTTACATAAAAGCCTTTAATGTCATTTTTATAAGTTTACACATTAAATGTCCCCCCCCATTCCCTTGTATAGTGCACAGTGCACCTTTCACTGTTTTCCTTTACCCTAGGCCCCTCTATGTACGATTTACCTCATCAATGTGCACTCCTGCACCGCTTGTGCACCGCTTGTCCCCCTCACCGTGCACTCACTAACTCTTCCTTCTTCGTGTGCACCGTCCGTGACTACAGTGTACACACCGTGTGGAGGCACGGTGTCCGTGAATGGTAGTTACTTTATCAGTCCTACCTACCCTGCCTCCTACAGTACCCCAGGGATGTGTGTGGCGTCTATCACGCCTCCTGCTGGGGTGAGTACCTGTCTGTTATCACTGTTGTACCTCCTGCTGGGGTGAGTACCTGTCTGTTATCACTGTTGTACCTCCTGCTGGGGTGAGTACCTGTCTGTTATCACTGTTGTACCTCCTGCTGGGGTGAGTACCTATCTGTTATCACTGTTTTACCTCCTGCTGGGGTGAGTACCTGTCTGTTATCACTGTTGTACCTCCTGCTGGGGTGAGTACCTGTCTGTTATCACTGTTGTACCTCCTGCTGGAGTGAGTACCTGTCTGTTATCACTGTTGCACCTCCTGCTGGGGTGAGTGCCTGTCTGTTATCACTGTTGTACCTCCTGCTGGGGTGAGTACCTGTCTGTTATCACTGTTGTACCTCCTGCTGGGGTGAGTACCTGTCTGTTATCACTGTTGTACCTCCTGCTGGGGTGAGTACCTATCTGTTATCACTGTTTTACCTCCTGCTGGGGTGAGTACCTGTCTGTTATCACTGTTGTACCTCCTGCTGGGGTGAGTACCTGTCTGTTATCACTGTTGTACCTCCTGCTGGAGTGAGTACCTGTCTGTTATCACTGTTGCACCTCCTGCTGGGGTGAGTGCCTGTCTGTTATCACTGTTGTACCTCCTGCTGGGGTGAGTACCTGTCTGTTATCACTGTTGTACCTCCTGCTGGGGTGAGTACCTGTCTGTTATCACTGTTGTACCTCCTGCTGGGGTGAGTACCTGTCTGTTATCACTGTTGCACCTCCTGCTGGGGTGAGTACCTGTCTGTTATCACTGTTGTACCTCCTGCTGGGGTGAGTACCTGTCTGTTATCACTGTTGTACCTCCTGCTGGAGTGAGTACCTGTCTGTTATCACTGTTGCACCTCCTGCTGGGGTGAGTACCTGTCTGTTATCACTGTTGTACCTCCTGCTGGGGTGAGTACCTGTCTGCCACCACTGTTGTTCCTCCTGCTGGGTCAGTACCTGTCTACTATCACTGTTGTACCTCCTGCTGGGGTGAGTACCTGTCTGCTACTACTGTTGTTACTCCTGCTGGGGTGAGTACCTCTCAACTACCACTATTGTTAACCACCACCACCACCATCACAACTACCACTACCATCACAACTACCACTATCATCACAACTACCACCACCATCACAACTACCAGCAAGTCTTCTCCCTCTTTCCCACAACCTCTCCCATTACCATAACTCTCCCACCCCTCTCTCTCCCCCCTTCATATTAACCTCTCCCCTCAAAGTCTCCCCTCAGGGTCTTTCTTCAGGGTCTACCCTTTGGTGTTTGAAAATATTGACCCGATTTGACACCTCAGTCCATTGGAAATAGGGTCTGTATCTTTGAAACACACTGTGAGAAAGTCACAGCATCCTTCATCTCCTGAGCATCACATCTCGTTCAGGACATATATACCTGTTGACATATATACCTGCTGACAGACACGAGTCTTTACTGTGGCAACGTTTCTTACAGCCAGTAGCTTCCTCAGTCCATTACAGAGAATGGTTGAAGGAGTTTGAGGTAACCAGTCCCTCAGCCTGGAGTTGATGTGGGGACTAATTACCTCAAAGTCATGTAGTGGACTGAGGAAGTTCTGGATGATATAACTACTACTACTACTACTACTACTACTACTACTACTACTACTACTACTAGTAATAATAATAATAATAATAATAATAATAATAATAATAATAATAATAATAATAATGTTTGTTTCTAGCAGTACATGACACAACTTATACAGACCATAGCTGACATCAGTGACATACTATATAGAAAGTCCCTGGTTATGTAGAGCATTTCCCACAACTTAGGTTAATTTTGTCCCCAGGATGCCACCCACACCACTCGAAAAACACCCAGGTACCTACTTACTGTTAGGTGAACAGTGACAGTAGGTGTAAGGTGACTAACATCCAATAAGTAGGTACCTGGGTGTTAGTGGATTGGTGTGAGTGGCATCCTGGGGGACAAGACTGAAAGGAATAAGACAGTCCTTGATAACGCACTGACTTTCTTGGGTTATCCTGGCTAGCTAACCCTCCCTAGCCCAGGTTATCCTGGCTAGCTAACCCCCCCTGCCCCGGGTTATCCTGGCTGGCTAACCCTCCGGGGTTAAAAATCCCAAGCAAATCTTATCTAATCCTAACTTAAGCGTTCTTAATGGCGGACTTCTGCAGTGTACCAGACGTGTGGTGGGATCATCAGTCTCAACAATACATATTACATCAGTAGAGGATACCCAGCCTCCTTCAGCAGACCTCCACCACTCTGTTATGTGTCTGTCAGACCTCCTCCAGGAGTGAGTACTTTCTACTGCCACTGCTAGTACCGCTGCTAGCACCACTGCTAGCACCACTGCTAGCACCACTGCTAGCACCACTGCTAGTACCACTGCTATCACCACTGCTAGTAACACTGCTAGTACCACTGCTATCACCACTGCTAGTATCACTGCTAGGGCTGCCACTACTAGTACCACTGGTAGGGCTGCCAGTACCACCACCACTAACAGAAGTAATACCACTGCTACCAGTCAGATGACCAAAAGCTCCAGCTGTGGGTCATCTTGTCCTGTTTCCTGACAAACATTACCTAACCTAACCTGAAGACCAGCGTCAGGAAACACTTGTTCTGTTTCCTGACAAACCTTACCTAACATAACCTGAAGACCAGCGTCAGGAAACACTTGTTCTGTTTCCTGACAAACCTTACCTAACCTAATCTGAAGACTTGCGTCAGGAAACACTTGTTCTGTTTCATGACAAACCTTACCTAACCTAACCTGAAGACCAGCGTCAGGAAACACTTGTTCTGTTTCCTGACAAACCTTACCTAACCTAACCTGAAGACCAGCGTCAGGAAACACTTGTCCTGTTTCCTGACAAACCTTACCTAACCTAATCTGAAGACCTGCGTCAGGAAACACTTGTCCTGTTTCCTGACAAACCTTACCTAACCTAACCTGAAGACCAGTGTCAGGAAACACTTGTCATGTTTCCTGACAAACCTTACCTAACCTAACCTGAAGACCAGCGTCAGGAAACACTTGTTCTGTTTCCTGACAAACCTTACCTAACCTAACCTGAAGACCAGTGTCAGGAAACACTTGTTCTGTTTCCTGACAAACCTTACCTAACCTAACCTGAAGACCAGTGTCAGGAAACACTTGTTCTGTTTCATGACAAACCTTACCTAACCTAACCTGAAGACCAGCGTCAGGAAACACTTGTCCTGTTTCCTGACAAACCTTACCTAACCTAACCTGAAGACCAGCGTCAGGAAACACTTGTCCTGTTTCCTGACAAACCTTACCTAACATAACCTGAAGACCAGTGTCAGGAAACACTTGTCCTGTTTCCTGACAAACCTTACCTAACCTAACCTGAAGACCAGTGTCAGGAAACACTTGTCTTGTTTCCTGACAAACCTTACCTAACCTAACCTGAAGACCAGTGTCAGGAAACACTTGTTCTGTTTCCTGACAAACCTTACCTAACCTAACCTGAAGACCAGCGTCAGGAAACACTTGTCCTGATTCCTGACAAACCTTACCTAACCTAACCTGAAGACCAGCGTCAGGAAACACTTGTCCTGATTCCTGACAAACCTTACCTAACCTAACCTGAAGACCAGTGTCAGGAAACACTTGTTCTGTTTCCTGACAAACCTTACCTAACCTAACCTGAAGACCAGTGTCAGGAAACACTTGTCCTGTTTCCTGACAAACCTTACCTAACCTAACCTGAAGACCAGCGTCAGGAAACACTTGTCCTGTTTCCTGACAAACCTTACCTAACCTAACCTGAAGACCAGCGTCAGGAAACACTTGTCCTGTTTCCTGACAAACCTTACCTAACCTAACCTGAAGACCAGTGTCAGGAAACACTTGTCCTGTTTCCTGACAAACCTTACCTAACCTAACCTGAAGACCAGTGTCAGGAAACACTTGTTCTGTTTCCTGACAAACCTTACCTAACCTAACCTGAAGACCAGTGTCAGGAAACACTTGTCCTGTTTCCTGACAAACCTTACCTAACCTAACCCGAAGACCAGCGTCAGGAAACACTTGTCCTGTTTCCTGACAAACCTTACCTAACCTAACCTGAAGACCAGCGTCAGGAAACACTTGTCCTGTTTCCTGACAAACCTTACCTAACCTAACCTGAAGACCAGCGTCAGGAAACACTTGTCCTGTTTCCTGACAAACCTTACCTAACCTAACCTGAAGACCAGTGTCAGGAAACACTTGTTCTGTTTCCTGACAAACCTTACCTAACCTAACCTGAAGACCAGCGTCAGGAAACACTTGTCCTGTTTCCTGACAAACCTTACCTAACCAAACCCTGAAGACCAGCGTCAGGAAAAACTTGTCCTGTTTCCTGACAAACCTTACCTAACCTAACCTGAAGACCAGCGTCAGGAAACACTTGTTCTGTTTCCTGACAAACCTTACCTAACCTAACCTGAAGACCAGCGTCAGGAAACACTTGTTCTGTTTCCTGACAAACCTTACCTAACCTAACCTGAAGACCAGCGTCAGGAAACACTTGTTCTGTTTCCTGACAAACTTTACCTAACCTAACCTGAAGACCAGCGTCAGGAAACACTTGTCCTGTTTCCTGACAAACCTTACCTAACCTAACCTGAAGACCAGCGTCAGGAAACACTTGTCCTGTTTCCTGACAAACCTTACCTAACATAACCTGAAGACCAGCGTCAGGAAACACTTGTTCTGTTTCCTGACAAACTTTACCTAACCTAACCTGAAGACCAGCGTCAGGAAACACTTGTCCTGTTTCCTGACAAACCTTACCTAACCTAACCTAACTACCACAATCAGAACTACTACCAGTATCACCAGCACTACTAGTATTGTTAGCACCACTACAACCAGCAGCGGTAGACCAACAATCTCACAATTTGCAAATAAATTAACTTTGTACCCTAGCCTAGCCTAGTCTAGCTTAGCCCTAGCCTAACCTATTCCTAGCCTAGCCCTAGCCTAGCCTAGCCTAGCCCTAGCCTAGCCTAGCCCTAGCCCTAGCCTAGCCTAGTCTAGTCTAGCCCTAGCCTAGCCTAGCCTAGCCCTATCCCTAGCCTACCCTAGCCCTAACCTAGCCTAGCCCTAGCCTAGCCTTGTCTAGTCTAGCCTAGCCCTAGCCTAGCCTACTCTAGCCTAGCCTAGCCCTAGCCCTAGCCTAGCCCTAGCCTAGCCTAGCCCTAGCCTAGCCTAGCCCAGCCCTAGCCTAGCCTAGCCTAGCCTAGCCTAGCCCTAGCCCTAGCCTAGCCTAGCCCTAGCCTAGCTTACTCTAGCCTAGCCTAGCCCTAGCCTAGCCTAGCCTAGCCTAGCCTAGCCCAGCCTAGTTAGGTATCCAATAAATCCTGTATCATTTAATAAGCTTTAATTAGTATTAATAAATCTTCGAAGGCAATTTACACTATTTATTATCATTGTACTTATTAATAATAATAATCTTTCTAGCAGTACATGATACAACTTATACAGACCACAGCTGACACCAATGACATACCACATAGAAAGTCCCTGGTTATGTAGAGCATTTCCCACAACTTAGGTTAATTTTGTCCCCCAGGATGCCACCCAAATAAGCTTACTGACTTGTTTCTCCTCACAGACATGCCAGATCCTACTGAATTTCGACGACTTTGAGTTGGTGGGACCCGTGGCTGGTGACTGTACCAATGATACCTTTGTTGTGATTGGTGCCAACCCTGGACCCAGTATTCCAACACTGTGTGGCTTCAACACTGGCCAACACAGTCAGTATTTTACTGTTTGTAGCAGGAGAGTCAGTTCGCCAACAAGGCATATTTTGTGTGGGTCTGTGTTGTGTGTTGTGTGTGTGTGTGTGTGTGTGTGTGTGTGTGTGTGTGTGTGTGTTTGTGTGTGTGTGTGTGTGTGTGTGTGTGTGTGTGTGTGTGTGTGTGTTGTGTGTGCATGCGCGGAAATGTATGAGAGTATAGTGGTACCAAGACTGTTGTATGGGTGTGAAGTATGAGTTGTTGAGGTTGCAGCTAGCAGGAGGCTGGAGGCAGTGGAGACGTCGTGTCTGAGGGCAGTGTGTGGTGTGAATATAATGCTGAGAATTTGTAGTTTGGAAATTAGGAGGAGGTGCGGGATTACCAAAACTATTATGCATAGGGCTGAGGAGGGATTGTTGAGGTAATTCGGATATTTAGAGAGACTGGAACAGAATAGAATGACTTGTAGAGTGGATAGATCTGTGGTGGAGGGAAGGCGGGGTAGAGGTCGGCCTAGGAAAAGTTGGAGGGGGTAAAGGAGGTTTTGTGTGCGAGGGGCTTGGACTTCCAGCAAGCATGCGTACTTGATATGAGTGAATGTAGACAAATGGTTTTTAACACGATGTGCTGTTGGAGTGTAAGCAAGGTAACATTTATGAAGGGATCCAGGGAAACCGAGAGGCTGTATTTGAGTCCTGGAGATGGGAAGTACAGTGTCTGCACTCTGAAGGAGGGGTGTTAATGTTGCAGTTTTATAACTGTAGTGTAAAGCATCCCTCTGGCAAGACAGTGATGGAGTGAATGATGGTGAAAGTTTTTCTTCTTTTTCTGGTCATCTACCTTGATATGAAACAGCCCATGTGTTAATAAATGATATAATAATAATAATGTATAATGACATCCTACACAGTGTTAATTAACATTGATGTTACAGTGTTTGTGGATGTGGATAACTCACAAGGACCTTACAAGTTGGTAACTACACTCTCTTCCTTCAACTATCAGCGTCGCTGGAAGATCAAAGTAACATTCATCAGTATGAACACACCGTGCCGGGCCCCTAACATGTGCCTCCAGTACTTTATGACTCCCACCGGTACATTCTCCTCCTTTAACTACGGTGGTACACCATCCATGATGATTAATGATCAGGTGAGTACTACAATATACCTCTGATAAGTTTGTTTAAGTATAAGTACACATAGGAAGAGAGGTAAAAAGTATACTTGGAGTATACCTGGAGGGTATTCCAAGAGTTAATAACCTCGTTGCTCGGTCCATGGCCAGGTCTCGTGGCGGGTCTGGGCATGATAAATCTGGCTCTTACTGCTGGCCGCACGTAAATTGATGTAGGAGCCACAGCCCGGCTGGTCAGGTACTTACTTTAGGTGCCTCTTCACCTAATGCAATGATATAAAAGTCGCCTGAGAGGTCAGAACATACAGGAGGAGAATGAAATAGCTTGTGACCATGACTGAGGCTGACTGACGTGCCCGGGCTGGGAAGAAACATGGCTTGTGAACCAGGCTGCCCAGATTTTGAGGCCTCTGTGGCCGATTGATGCAGAGCGTCACTTGGGAAACCTTGCCAGCCTTCTCTGACGTGATTTCGAATCCTGCTGACAGCAATATGTCTCTGTATATATATATATATATATATGTGTGTGTGTGTGTATGTGTGTGCTTTTGTGTACTCACCTAGTTGTACTCACCTAGTTGAGGTTGCAGGGGTCGAGTCCAAGCTCCTGGCCCCGCCTCTGTGTGTGTGTGTGTGTGTGTGTGTGTGTGTACTCACCCAATGGAAATAAGTCACTCTGTCTGACTTTTTTGGGTTATCCTAGGTTCTCTACACATATGCTGCTATGTATGATAATTCTATGTAACTGTATTGTGTATACCTGAATAAATTTACTTACTTACTTACTTACTTACTTACTTACTTACCTAATTGTAGCTGCAGGGGTCGATACTCAACTCCTGTGTGTGTGTGTGTGTGTGTGTACTCACCTAATTGTAGTTGCAGGGGTCGATACTCAACTCCTCTGTGTGTGTGTGTGTGTGTGTGTGTGTGTGTGTGTGTGTGTGTGTACTCATCTAAATGTAGCTGCAGGGGTCGATACTCAACTTCTGTGTGTGTGTGTGTGTACTCACCTATTTGTACTCACCTATTTGTGGTTGCAGGGGTCGAGTCACAGCTCCTGGCCCCGCCTCTTCGCTGATTGCTACTAGGTCCTCTCTCTCCCTGCCCCATGAGCTCTATCATACCTCGCCTTAAAACTATGTATGGTTCCTGCCTCCACTACATCACTTTCTAGGCTATTCCATGGCCTGACTACTCTATGACTGAAGAAATACTTCCTAACATCCCTTTGATTCATCTGAGTCTTCAACTTCCAATTGTGACCTCTTGTGTCTGTGTCCCATCTCTGGAACATCCCGTCTTTGTCCACCTCGTCTATTCCGCGCAGTATTTTATATGTCGTTATCATGTCTCCCCTGACCCTCCTGTCCTCCAGTGTCGTCAGGCCGATTTCCCTCAACCTTTCTTCATAGAACAATCCCCGTAGCTCTGGGACTAGTCTTGTTGCAAACCTTTGCACTTTCTCTAATTTCTTGACGTGCTTGACTAGGTGTGGATTCCAAACTGGTGCTGCATACTCCAGTATGGGCCTGACGTAGATGGTATACAGAGTCTTAAACGAATCCTTACTGAGGTATCGGGACGCTTTCCGTAGGTTTGCCAGGCGCCCGTATGCTGCAGCAGTTATCTGATTGATGTGCGCCTCAGGAGATATGCTCGGTGTTATACTCACCCCTAGATCTTTTTCCTTGAGTGAGGTTTGCAGTCTTTGGCCATCTAAACTATATTGTGTCTGCGGTCTTCTTTGCCCTTCCTCAATCTTTATGACTTTGCATTTGGCAGGGTTAAATTCAAGGAGCCAGTTGCTGGACCAGGCTTGTAGCCTGTCCAGGTCTCTTTGTAGTCCTGCCTGATCCTCGTCCGATTTGATTCTTCTCATTAACTTCACATCATCTGCAAACAAGGACACTTCTGAGTCTATCCCTTCCGTTATGTCGTTCACATATACCAAGAACAGCACAGGTCCTAGGACTGACCCCTGTGGAACCCCGCTTGTCACAGGCGCCCACTCTGACACCTCGTCGCGTACCATGACTCGTTGTTGCCTCCCTGTCAGATATTCTCTGATCCATTGCAGTGCCTTTCCTGTTATGTGTGCCTGGTCCTCTAGCTTTTGCAGTAACCTCTTGTGAGGAACTGTGTCGAAGGCCTTCTTGCAGTCCAAAAATATGCAGTCGATCCACCCTCTCTCTCTTGTCTTACTTCTGTCACCTTGTCATAAACTCTAGTAGGTTTGTGACACAGGATTTCCTTCCCTGAAACCGTGCTGGTTGTCAATTATACACTTGTTTCTTTCCAGGTGCTCCACCACTCTCCTCCTGATGATCTTCTCCATGACCTTGCATACTATACACGTTAGTGATACAGGTCTGTAGTTTAGTGCCTCATGTCTGTCTCCCTTTTTAAAAATTGGGGACTACATTTGCCATTTTCCATACCTCAGGGAGTTGCCCAGTTTCAAATGATTGTGTTGAAGATCTTTGTTAATGGCTCACACAATATTTCTGCTCCCTCTTTAAGGACCCATGGAGAGATGTTGTCTGGTCCCACCGCCTTTGAGGTGTCAAGTTCGCATAGCAGCTTCTTCACCTCCTCCTTGGTTATATGTACCTCATCCAGCACTTGCTGGTGTGCCCCCCTGTTCTGATTTCTTGGAGTCCTACTGGTTTCCACTGTAAATACCTCTTTAAATCTTGTGTTGAGATCCTGACAAACCTCTCGGTCGTTTCTTGTGAATTCCCCATCACCCTTCCTCAGTCTGATTACCTGGTCCTTGATTGTTGTTTTCCCTGATGTGGCTGTACAACAGCTTCGGGTCAGTCTTTACTTTTGATGCTATGTCATTTTCATATTGTCTCTGAGCCTCCCTTCTTATCTGTGCATATTTGTTTCTGGCTCTTCGGCTAATTTCTTTATTTTCCTGAGTTCTCTGTCTTCTGTACCTTTTCCATTCTGTGTGTGTGTGTGTGTGTGTGTGTGTGTGTGTGTGTGTGTACTCACCTAATTTTAGTTGCAGGGGTCGATACTCAACTCCTGTGTGTGTGTGTGTGTGTGTGTGTGTACTCACCTAGTTGTGGTTGTGGGGGGTCGATTCACAGCTCCTGGCCCCGCCTCTTCACTTGGCCGCTACCCAGTTACTCTTCCCGCTCCGTGAGCTTTATCATACCTCTTCTTAAAGCTATGTATGGATCCTGCCTCCACTACATCACTAAAAGGGCTATTCCACTTCCTGACAACTCTGTGAATGAAGAAATACTTCCTAACATCCCTGTGATTCATCTGAGTCTTCAACTTCCAACTGTATCCCCTTGTTACTGTGTCCAATCTCTGGAACATCCTGTCTTTGTCCACCTTGTCAATTCCCCTCAGTATTTTATATGTCGTTATCATATCCCCCCTTACTCTCCTGTCTTCCAGTGTCGTCAGGTTGATTTCCCTTAACCTCTCCTCGTAGGACATACCTCTTAGCTCTGGGACTAGTCTTGTTGCAAACCTTTGCACTTTCTCTAGTTTCTTTACATGCTTGGCTAGGTGTGGGTTCCAAACTGGTGCCGCATACTCCAATATGGGCCTAACGTACACGGTGTACAGGGTCCTGAACGATTCCTTATTAAGATGTCGGAATGCTGTTCTGAGGTTTGCTAGGCGCCCATATGCTGCAGCAGTTGTTTGGTTGATGTGCACCTCGGGTGATGTGCCTGGTATACTCACCCCAAGATCTTTTTCCTTGAGTGAGGTTTGTAGTCTCTGGCCCCCTAGACTCTGCTCCGTCTGTGGTCTTCTTTGCCCTTCCCCAATTTGCATGACTTTGCACTTGGTGGGGTTGAACTCCAGGAGCCAATTGCTGGACCAGGTCTGCAGCCTGTCCAGATCCCTCTGTAGTTCTGCCTGGTCTTCGTCCAATTGAATTCTCCTCATCAACTTCACGTCATCTGCAAACCGGGACACTTCGGAGTCTATTCCTTCCGTCACGTCGTTCACAAATACCAGAAACAGCACTGGTCCTAGGACTGACCCTTGTGGCACCCTGCTCGTTACCGGTGCCCACTCTGACACCTCGCCACGTATCATGACTCGCTGTTGTCTTCCTGACAAGTATTCCCTGATCCATTGTAGTGCCTTCCCTGTTATCCCTGCTTGGTCCTCCAGCTTCCACACTAATCTCTTGTGTGGAACTCTGTCAAAAGCCTTCTTACAGCCCAAGAAAATGCAGTCTCCCCACCCCTCTCTCTCTTGTCTCACTGCTGTCACCCTGTCTTAGAGCTCCAGTAGGTTTGTGATGCACGATTTCCCGTCCCTGTGTGTGTGTGTGTGTGTGTGTGTGTGTGTGTGTGTGTGTACAGGTACACATAAATACAGTTATACAAATTATAATATATAGTAATGTATGTGTAAATTATTCAACAGGATTACGGAAATTATTATCATAGGGAAGCGCTAAATTCATAAGGATTATACAGCGCCTCTATGGGGGGGATGGAAGGTATTCAGGCTCAATTCAGGAAACTGGAGCACAGATCCAATTTCTTAGATCAAGAGCCCCTCACCAGCATCAAGGAACCTCCATTGACGGGATAACCCAAAAGAGAACACATAAAAAACTTGGGAATAATTATGTCAGGTGACCTTTAAAGACAGTAACAAGGCAAAGGTCACGACAGGAGGGTGACGGGGTGGGTATTGAGAACTTTCAAAACAAGGGGAAATAATGCCAATAGTGACTTACCTCCCGTGGATCAGGTTTGACCCGGAGGACAGGTCTAATTCCATATATCAAACACCTCCCTTGTGGGGCATTGCTGTGTATACCTTCACACTGATAAGAAATTTCTCTCTCTCTCATCCAGCAATACTCCATCTGCTTCGCGTACCAGCAAGGGTACTGTAACTTGGGCATCAATTACAACAGGTTTGACCTGGGCAACGTCAACCAGCAATGTACTACAGACTTCGTGGCAAGTGCTGGTGAGAGACTCTGTGGAGACTTCGCTACTTTTACGAATCAAGGTGAGTTACTTCAGTATCTATTATTTACCCCATTCCCTTGGTGTGGGTGATAGTCCAAAGATTACAGAGGTACATAATGGGTCCAGGGACTGTACTCCAACAGTACAGAGCCACATAATGAGTCCAGGGACTGTACTCCAACAGTACATAGCCACATAATGGGTTCAGGGACTGTACTCCAACAGTACAGAGCCACATAATGGGTCCAGGGACTATACTCCAACAGTACAGAGCCACATAATGGGTTCAGGGACTGTACTCCAACAGTACAGAGCCACATAATGGGTCCAGGGACTGTACTCCAACAGTACAGAGCCACATAATGGGTCCAGGGACTGTACTCCAACAGTACAGAGCCACATAATGGGTTCAGGGACTGTACTCCAACAGTACAGAGCCACATAATGGGTCCAGGGACTGTACTCCAACAGTACAGAGCCACATAATGGGTCCAGGGACTGTACTCCAACAGTACAGAGCCACATAATGGGTTCAGGGACTGTACTCCAACAGTACAGAGCCACATAATGGGTCCAGGGACTGTACTCCAACAGTACAGAGCCACATAATGGGTCCAGGGACTGTACTCCAACAGTACAGAGCCACATAATGGGTCCAGGGACTGTACTCCAACAGTACAGAGCCACATAATGGGTTCAGGGACTGTACTCCAACAGTACAGAGCCACATAATGGGTCCAGGGACTGTACTCCAACAGTACAGAGCCACATAATGGGTCCAGGGACTGTACTCCAACAGTACAGAGCCACATAATGGGTCCAGGGACTGTACTCCAACAGTACAGAGCCACATAATGGGTGCAGGGACTGTACTCCAACAGTACAGAGACACATAATGGGTCCAGGGACTGTACTCCAACAGTACAGAGCCACATAATGGGTCCAGGGACTATACTCCAACAGTACAGAGCCACATAATGGGTCCAGGGACTGTACTTCAACAGTACAGAGCCACATAATGGGTCCAGGGACTGTACTCCAACAGTACAGAGCCACATAATGGGTCCAGGGACTGTACTCCAATAGTACAGAGCCACATAATGGGTCCAGGGACTGTACTCCAACAGTACAGAGCCACATAATGGGTCCAGGGACTGTACTCCAACAGTACAGAGCCACATAATGGGTTCAGGGACTGTACTCCAACAGTACAGAGCCACATAATGGGTCCAGGGACTGTACTCCAACAGTACAGAGCCACATAATGGGTCCAGGGACTGTACTCCAACAGTACAGAGCCACATAATGGGTCCAGAGACTGTACTCCAACAGTACAGAGCCACATAATGGGTCCAGGGACTATACTCCAACAGTACAGAGCCACATAATGGGTCCAGGGACTATACTCCAACAGTACAGAGCCACATAATGGGTCCAGGGACTGTACTCCAACAGTACAGAGCCACATAATGGGTCCAGGGACTATACTCCAACAGTACAGAGCCACATAATGGGTCCAGGGACTGTACTTCAACAGTACAGAGCCACATAATGGGTCCAGGGACTGTACTCCAACAGTACAGAGCCACATAATGGGTCCAGGGACTATACTCCAACAGTACAGAGCCACATAATGGGTCCAGGGACTATACTCCAACAGTACAGAGCCACATAATGGGTCCAGGGACTGTCCTCCAACAGTACAGAGCCACATAATGGGTCCAGGGACTGTACTCCAACAGTACAGAGCCACATAATGGGTCCAGGGACTGTACTCCAACAGTACAGAGCCACATAATGGGTCCAGGGACTATTCTCCAACAGTACAGAGCCACATAATGGGTCCAGAGACTGTACTCCGACAGTACAGAGCCACATAATGGGTCCAGGGACTGTACTCCAACAATACAGAGCCACATAATGGGTCCAGGGACTGTACTCCGACAGTACAGAGCCACATAATGGGTCCAGGGACTGTACTCCAACAGTACAGAGCCACATAATGGGTCCAGGGACTGTACTCCAACAGTACAGAGCCACATAAAGGGTCCAGGGACTGTACTCCAACAGTACAGAGCCACATAATGGGTCCAGGGACTGTACTCCAACAGTACAGAGCCACATAATGGGTCCAGGGACTGTACTCCAACAGTACAGAGCCACATAATGGGTCCAGGGACTGTACTCCAACAGTACAGAGCCACATAATGGGTCCAGGGACTGTACTCCAACAGTACAGAGCCACATAATGGGTCCAGGGACTGTACTCCAACAGTACAGAGCCACATAATGGGTCCAGGGACTGTACTCCAACAGTACAGAGCCACATAATGGGTTCAGGGACTGTACTCCAACAGTACAGAGCCACATAATGGGTCCAGGGACTGTACTCCAACAGTACAGAGCCACATAATGGGTCCAGGGACTGTACTCCAACAGTACAGAGCCACATAATGGGTCCAGGGACTGTACTCCAACAGTACAGAGCCACATAATGGGTCCAGGGACTGTACTCCAACAGTACAGAGCCACATAATGGGTCCAGGGACTGTACTCCAACAGTACAGAGCCACATAATGGGTCCAGGGACTGTACTCCAACAGTACAGAGCCACATAATGGGTCCAGGGACTGTACTCCAACAGTACAGAGCCACATAATGGGTTCAGGGACTGTACTCCAACAGTACAGAGCCACATAATGGGTCCAGGGACTGTACTCCAACAGTACAGAGCCACATAATGGGTCCAGGGACTGGGACACAGTGCTGGTCAGTTAACAGTGGTAACGAGGGAGGGATTTGTGTGTTATTCTCTAATTTTAAGACCTGGAAAGCAATAAATTCGTAAGGGCCATATAAATGCTAGTACACAATGGCAGCAGGTTCGAAGCCAAGTACAAGAGGGATCAGCCCAGTGCCTCGGATCAAGAACCTTGAGAGGAACGTAGATAAATGGTTGAGAGAACTAACAAGATGATAAATTAAGACACCTGTGCAACATCTGGGTGTCTTTATTATGGAAGTTTTTTGCCACACAGTGACTTCATCAGTCCCATACAAAGAATAGTGAAGATCAGAAAGGGTTTAAGGTAATCAGTCCCTCAACGTGGAGTTGATGTAATCATTCCATCAGTCTTATCCATCTTGATGGACTGATGACATCGACTGCTGGATGAGGGACTGATTACGTAAAACTCCTTCTGATCATCACTATTCTTCTTCGTATGGACTGATGAAGCCACTGTGTGGCCAAACGTTTCCACAGTAATGAAACCCTAGTGTTGCACATGTGTGTCTAATTGATCTACAAGGATAAATCCACTTCCTCAGATCAAGAACCTCGAGAGCACAGCTAACAGTAGTAGTAATAATACGTGTAACAAGTAGTAGTTATATTTATGAGGAAGGGCTAAACCCACCGGGGTCATATAGTGCCGGGAAGCATTTAGGTTCACTGCAAGGAAGGAGAGAGCAACTCCAGTTCCTCGGATGAAGAGCTTCCCGTCATTGGCATCTAGGATCTCCCCTTGAGGGAGCAGCTGTTACAACCCCCCCTCAAGGGATGCTGAAGGGCTCTTGATCCAATGAATTGGAGTTTAGGTAAATGGACACAGATGCAGCTGTGACATCTGATTATTATTAGTTTTCTATTACCAATAAGAATCACAGGAAGCACTAAAGCTGTAGGGCCATACGGTGGCCAGGGTAATGGGACACAGGTTCCCAACTAAGGAACTCCAGCTCCTGATAATGGTTGAATTACCCACATTATTATTATAATCTAAAGGAAGAGCTAAACCTACAAGGGTCATACAGTGCTACAGAATCACCCACAAAATGTTGGGTAAATTTTCACAGACAACTAATGTGTCATTTTATTGTGTTAATGTTTGACTCTGCAGGAGCTTCACCAGGTTGTTAAGTCTTGAGGAAGATTGTGGATGATGGATTTTACCTGGTAATATGACCTTTGAAAGTGGAATGGTGATACTGAAGGTTCCATGATTTTATCGTGGTGTCCAGGTGTAAGAATGTAGTCTTCAAGCACTATCTCCTGGGCCTCTTGTCCTCATTAGCTATGGTTCAGCCACTGCCACTTTTTCCCCCTACCCACTACTATTACTACTACATATTACTACTACTACTACTACTACCACCACCTTCACTTCCTCCTCCATTACTATCATCTCTTCCTATTTATTTTTCTTTGTCCTTCCACCTCTGCCCTCCTCTCGTATATATACTGGCATCCTTACCTCCGTGTGTCACGGTGTCTATAGTTAACAGTACAAGATAGACCAAAATGGCATCATATATTTCTGTCCCATATATGCGGGTTATCTCTGCATGAAATACACCTTCCCCAGTGTGTAACACTCACATTGTGTAAATTATGGGTTTTGCATGTGTATTTTTGCTCAAGGACTTTAGTGAAACATGTAGGTGACTAGAATATATATATATATATATATACAGTGGACCCCCGCATAGCGAACTTAATCCGTGCAAGAGGGCTGGTCGTTATGCGAAATGTTCGCTATGCGAATTAATTTTCCCCATAAGAAATAATGGAAATAAAATTAATCCGTGCAAGACACCCAAAAGTATGAAAAAAAAATTTTTTTACCACATAAAAATGTTAATTTTAGTACACACAAACTGAAAAAGGCATGCACAATTACATGACACTTACTTTTATTGAAGATCTGGTGATGATTGATGGGATGGGAGGAGGGGAGAGCATTATCTTCTTACTGTTTAGAAGGGGAATCCCCTTCCATTAGGACTTGAGGTAGCAAGTCCTTTTCTGGGGTTACTTCCCTTCTTCTTTTAATGCCACTAGACCAGCTTGAGAGTCACTGGACCTCTGTCGCACAACAAATCTGTCCATAGAGCTCTGTACCTCCCGTTCCTTCAAGACTTTCCTAAAATGGGCCATAACATTGTCATTGAAATAGTCACCAGCACGGCTTGCAACAGCTGTGTCAGGGTGATTTTCATCCATAAAGGTTTGCAGTTCAACCCACTGTGCACACATTT